TGTGTTTATTGGTTTCTTGTTCACCTTATAGATTAATTGCAGAAAAGTATAAACTTTAACATTTCTACCTTTGTGGCTTGATGAGGTCCACAGAATTCATTTCTGACCAGTTTATGCAAACTGGGGTTCCTATTGTCCTAAAAAAATCTGGGAAGTTAAATCAGTAACACAAACACACCTTTTGATTTATTTCAGAACCATATAAACCTATTTTGAATTTTTCAACCAATTTTGTTCTTAAAGTTGGCAATGATAAAAACAAAAAACAAAAAAATAAAACACATTTATTTTGAAACACAGTCTTGCTCTGTCACCCAGGCTGGAATGCAATGATGTCATCATATCTCACTGTTGCCTCAATTTCCCAGGGTCAAGCATTCCTCCCACCTCAGCCTTCCAAGTAGTTGGGACTACAGGCACATGCCACCATGCTTGGCTATTTTTTTTTCTTTTCTTTTCTTTTCTTTTTTTAGTAGAGACAAGGTCTCTCCATGTTGCCCAGGCTGGTCTCAAACTTCTGAACTCAAGTGATCCTCCTGCCTCAGCTTCCCAAAATACTGGCATTATAGGAATGAGCCACCACCCCTGGCTCCCTCCTTGCTGTTTCTACCTCCCTCCTTGCTGTTACAACTAAAATCTAGAGTTCCAGAGTTCCTTGCTGTTTCAGGAGGGAGGCAGATTCTTCTCTGGAACTCTAGATTTTAGTTGAGCATGTAGAGGGATCAGTTGACTTATTAACCACTTAGGATTGCACAGTAGGAGAAGTTGGTTTAAAGAATTGCCAGCACAGGAGTGGGCCTGGGAAGGGAAAAGTTTGTGTAAGCATGTGTGGGTCCAAGATAAAACTGTGGGGTAACAGATTTTTGCCTGATGCCTTGTCATTAAGAGATGAAGGGCATTAGGATTTACAGGAGATGGAAAAAGTAGTGAATGGATAGTAGTGGGAAAGACTGGGATTGAGTAAAAGCACTGGAGGGCAAAAGTATTGAGTAGAATGTTTGCTGCTTATTATGTTTCTGTATAAATACTGAGTACAAAGTTTCACTTTGGTGGTCAAGATGCTATGGCTGTGACAACTCCTGAGTGGGTTCTCTGAAAAAAAAAAAAAAAAAAGTCTCCGAATGTATAGAGTAAGTGTCAGGCCTTCTGAAATTTGCAAAGAACACTTCCACAAGACCTACACTTCCCAAGATAACTGCAGTAGTATGAACTGATACTTAACATTTTTCCCTCTCCTGCTGGAACATTCCTGGGGCTCAAGTCCAGAGGCTGGGAACTGACCACACTCACTTCCTTTAGACTGTGCAAGTTGTGAAGGCTGATGTTTTTAGCTTGGTTATTATTTGGAGTCTTAGCTCATAGTGTATCTTTACAGCTTTTTGCCTCACTGGACCCTCATCTCAAAAGGCTTTAGAATGTGTTCACTATCATGAGCTGACCAACAATTTCTAAATTCCTGCTCAGAAACACAGCAAGGGGAATGCAGTTAAGCACAAAGGGCTTAAATGACCAGGTAAGGCTGGGCTGGATGAATAGAGAGGAATATCCCATGAGTGTGACTGGGTGGTTTTAGAGTATCCTGTTTCAACTGTTATATTTGACTTGTAAACTTACAGACAGTGTGTTAATGTCAGATCTTCTTTTACAGAACTGTTTAAATCATGGACAAAAAACGTAAGTAATTTACTTAAATGTTTACTTTCCTCCCTATAATGCTAACCTGTTTAGTAATTTGTTATTTCTCATAATGTTTCATTCAGTGTCTGAAAGTATATAATTTGCTTTCTGTTGTTTGTACTCCAGAATACAATGTAGCTCAGTATTTTGACTATAGAGAAGAAGTGCAAAAATATTACTACCACTAGGTTCTTCATTAAAAATAAAAAGCCTTGGCCAGGCATGGTGGCTCACACCTGTAATCCCAGCACTTTGGGAGGCCGAGGCAGGTGAATCACAAGGTCAGGAGTTCAAGACCAGCCTGGCCAACATGGTGAAACCCTGTCTCTACTAAAAATACAAAAAAATTAGCTGGGCATCGTGGTGGATGCCTATAATCCCAGCTACTTGGGAGGCTGAGGCAGGAGAATTGCTTGAACCTGGGAGATGAAGGTGGCAGTGAGCCAAGATGGTGCCACTACACTTTAGCCCAGCGAAAGTGTGAGACTCCATCTCAAAAAAAGAAAAAAAAAAAAAACAAAGTAAGAAAAGCTTTTGGAGAGCTAAGAAATTTTAGATTTATTGGAAAATATGTTCTAAAACATATAGTATATTCAAGCCAGAACAATATTCTCTTTTCTCTGTGTATTTTATATGTATAAAGATTATTTAAGTCATACTAATTAACAGATAAGATTTCAGTTCATTGTAATAAATTCTCAGATACATATTTCAACGTATATTTCATCACATACACATGTGTGTAGGTTTAAATAAATAATAATAATTATGTTCTGGCTTTTTTTCTCTCAGGAAAATTCTAAGATGGATATTTATCAAGCAAAGTAATAAAAGACTTTGTCTTATTTAGATATGATGGTTTTGAAGAGGGACACCACTACCTAAGGAAATTGTTCAAAATTCCCACTACATAGGAAAAATTAAAATCAAAAATTAAATCCTGTTTTTCTGAAATGCTTTTCTTTTTTCTCTCTTTTATCTTTGGTGAGGTAACAAAATGATTTATCTGTCACTATAGTGTCAGTCTTTATTAGATATATTAAATAATCTCCAGGACTAGACCCCTTGCTTTTCCCATGCGAACTGTTAAAATTTTCTTTTTACTTACAAAACTCAAAGCTTTTTAAATGTAAATTTATATAGAATTACACTGTTTTATGTGCCACAAGCTTTAAGTTGATTCCACTCAATTTAGACAATTTTATCTGGTCATGGTCATAGTTAATATATACTATTAACTCTTCAGTTTTGTATATATAACTGTAGGCATGTAAGCATACATTTGCATAAATAGAAATAAAATGTGTATATGTGTATGAATTAATGTATATATATGTATATATACATACAGGTAGACATTAAAAATAAAATATCTTTAAGACAATGTGATAGACTTGTATTTTTTATAAGCTATTTTAAGTTGCATTTAATGCAAAAATCAAACCATAATTAACATGCTCTTTGTTCTACTTGAACACCTCTGCTCATTCACTTATTCTCCTTGTATAAATTCCCCCTGGAATTCCTGAAATCAGAATCATTGCTTTGGCACCAAAAGCCCAGAGATTATGAGCTCATGATTTCTTGAATCTGTCTGCTCCTGGATATGTGTATGTGTGTGTTCTATGTTCTAGAATTCAAACAATGTTGCTTATTAAGAGGTATCACAATGTGATGTAACTGTCAAGGTTAAATCTTTACTTCAGGCTTGCAAAGTGTTTTCTTGAAATCTATTCTGAGTCTGATGCTATTGTTTCCAACTCAAGTTGGGAGTAGGGGCTGCAGGCAAGGCTTTATTAGCTAGAGAACTAGGGAGTGAGGTCAGTCATTTAATGCTGAGAAGTAGAAGAGAATGGTTGGGATAGAATGATGAGGAATTTCAGAGATGTGTGAAAACTCAGAAATCACAGGGTATGCTGCAACGTTCGTCCAGGGAAAAAGTCCTCATTTGAGTAAGAGAGGGGTTTCTGTTTTTTTGAGATGGAGTCTGTCTTTGTTGCCCAGGCTGGAGTGCAGTGGGAGTGCAGTGGTAAAATCTCGGCTCACCACAACCTCCACCTCCTGGGTTCAAGTGATCCTCCTGCCTTAGCCTCCCGGGTAGCGGGGACTACAGGCATGTGCCACCATGCCGGGGGCTAATTTTTGTATTTTTAGTAGAGACAGGATTTCACTATGTTGGCCAAGCTGGTTTTGAATGAGTAGGTGAGGCTTTTTTTTTTTTTTTTTTTTTGCCTGAATTTACACAATCACCATTGACTGCATTCTGCTGAAGTCATAATGAAACCAATTATGAAGGAAAAATGCTGGAGCAGGGGGTGGTGGGGGACACAATCCAATCCTCCTGATAAAACCATATGGTTAACAAGCTGAGTGGTCTTTGAAAGTTCATAATAGACAAACATACAAAAAAAATGTGTTACAGCGAAAGTTTGACCTATATATTCTTATATTGATGCCAGATCTCCATGATTCAAAAACAAGTATTTTGAATTTACAGTTAGTACTTCATAAGAAAATAGATAAGGAGATAAGTGTAGTGTCTACTACACCTTAAGCTATATGAAAGCAGAACCATTGTAGCCCCAACGCCTAATTCAAGGGTGACACAGATGCTCAGTAGATATTTAGAGACTGCCTGGGTAGGTAAGTGAATGAATAGATAGACATGAATCTTAATAATTAGGAGATTAAACCATTTGTACATATATTAAGGTTACTCAAGCCTTATTATCAAATAACAATGTTGAATATGTTAGTGTGGTGTAATTAAACATTATGGCTTTTCTGGGTCAAAAACAGTTATATTTGGAGAATTTCATATGGCTCAACTTTATTGGAGTAAGCATAAAACATATCATTAAATACTGAAGTATACTCATTATTTTAAATATTTAAAATAATAATTCTTATAGCAGTGATAGACACCATTAAAATCATCCATAATTCTACCATCCTCACATCCCATCAATTTCATTTATCTCTTTCTTCATAGTCTATATGTAATTTTAAAGTTGTCTTTATTCTAATACCAACAAAACATGGAACTGAACATTAATCAGGCATGTTTCAAAAAACTAGTAATTCAGCCCCAGTAACTTAGCTGTCTCATTTTATCTAAAAAAAAAATTGATCTTAAACAAATTTGCTAATTGCAAATTAGCTCTGATAACAGGCACAGCTCATATTAAGTGAAAATTTTACTTTCCCTATTTCAATACAGCATAAGACCACACAAGTGAAAATTATCTAAGTATAATACATTGTTTCTTTCTAACATGTATTTTATTTAATCAGACATATATTTACCTCTCCTTAAATTGCAGACACACAGATGAATGATTCTCACCCAGAAACAAACATGCCAGTTGGGTATCCGCCTCAGTATCCACCAACAGCATTCCAAGGTAAAGTAGTTGATTAAAGAAGAAAAGTAAAATTAGTCAATTAATAGTCCAGAGAGAGAATATTGTGTGTGTGTTTTTATTTTAGTCTTTCTTTTTTGAAAATTATATTGATGAAATTTTGGTAGTCTCACTGTTCTTGATTATTTTTATTTGCCTATAGTTTTCCTTAGAAGTAATTTTTACTTACAGAGGACCCTGAAGGTATAAAGAAAGGTAGTAAAAACAGAATTATGTGTACATTTAGCAAATGAAATGCAAGATTGTACATCTCAAACTACAAATGTTAAATATTTTATTGATTCTCCATCTGTTCTGAAAATTATGATCATTTAATCACATTTAAGAAAGTTATTACTGATAAATTGAGTCATGTAGTAGCTTGGAAAATGTTCAGTGAGAGTCATATCAAAATAGTAAGACTGCTTAAAAGGTCTTAAAAGAAATTCAGTTACCTGGGAATAATTATCATTTAATTTTATAATATATATGAAAGCTTAATTTTTGTATATATGCTGATTCATCCTTGTATTTCTAAGAAAAGTAATTGTATCATTTCACTACATACATAATTGAGTACATTTTTTCTTTTTAACCAATGCTTGAAAGAATTCAGAGATTTTCATTTAGGCAAATGCAGTTATCAAAACTACTAGAACTTTAAAAATAGCAAAGTCCATGACATGGCCAGATTTATAAGTAGGCAGGCTACCCACATCTTGAAAGAGCATCTTGGGAATTTAGGATCAAAGGGAATGTGGTTTGGTTAGAAGGGTGTACCCATTGTGTTTTCTTCTCTGAGTAAACAAGTGTGCTTTGTAGCTGAATGTCCTGTTTAACTCCCTAGCAAGAAACCTCCCTGTGGGTCCCAGATTTCAACCAGATGGTTGCAACTAAAGGAATATGTGCTACATAAGCTCAAAGACTCTAAGGTGATGGCTCACAACCATGGCTGCACTGAAATTTCACCCAGAGGCACTTAAAAACACTAGTGGCAGGGTACTATTCCAGAAAAATTAAATCAGAACTTCTGGTGGTGGGACTCAAGGAATGGTAATTTTTTAACTTCCCAAGTGATTCTAATGTGAAGCCAGGATTGAGAACCTCTGTTATAAATTCTTAGAGGGCTGGTGTTTGGAAAATCATTAGCAAGTCTATAATATTCATCCAAGGCACTTAAGAGAATGGTGTAGTCCACCCAATCACTAATTAAAAGTAGTTAAACATAAATAATACAGTTCGGATATAATCAGACCTAAGAGTGTGCGTGTATAAATGTAGAGAGAGATCCATACAGCTTGATTTTGTTTCTCAAGACCAAGATTACATATAGCACAGGTCTTAAGATAACAATGATTCTAACAGTAGGATAATTTTAAATTGAGAGCTTACTGTGCTTTAGTCATTGTTTTAAATGTGGAGTTAATAGGGATTAATACATTTAATTCTCAGAATACTCTTATGAGGTAGATACTGTTAATTATTCCCATTATATATGTGGGAAAGCTGAGGCATAGGGAATTTGGATCAGGCTGCAAGTTCTGTCTGCTTTTTTTTGAGACAGTCTTGCTCTGTTGCCCAGGCTGGAGCGCAATGGTGGGATCTCGGCTCACTGCAACCTCTACCTCCCAGGTTTAAGCAATTCTCCTGCCTCAGCCTCTCAAGTAGCTGGGATTACAGGCATGTGCCACCATGCCTGGCTAATTTTTGTATTTTTTTTAGGAGAAACGGGTTTCACCATGTTGGCCAGGCTGATTTTGACCTTGTGATTCAACCACCTTGGCCTCCCAAAGTGCTGAGATTGCAGGAGTGAGCCACCACACCCAGCCCTGCCTGCTTTTAAAAAATAAAAAATTGTATAGGTAAATGTGCTGGTAAACCAGTTCTGCCTTCTGTACTAATAGTTATGTGGTAGTCTTAAACAAGCTTCAGTACCCTGAAGCCTCAATGTTCTTATCTATATGTGAGGGTGTTATTTTCAATTTTGGTTGCTCTGCAGAGTAAATGAAAGTATATGTAAAACACTGAGAACAATGCTTGCAAATAATAAATGACAAGTATTTGCTAATGTTATACTGGACCGAGCACAGAAAGTCAACACCAAGACAAAAGTATGCCAAATTGCAGGGTTTATTGCCAGCGACCACGGAGGACTCAGTCTCTCCAACCCGTGGCCCCAAAGGAAGGGTGACAAGACTCTTTTATACCTGTAAACCACCTCTGGGGGTGGGGTGAAGGCATTCAGACATTCTGAGGGCTAGTGGATTCTGCAAATCACCTTCTGGGCGGAGATGAGGGTGAGGGGCGAGGATGGAGGTGAGGGGATTCGGACATTCCGAGGGCCAGGGGACTATTTGACATTCTGATTGTTACTTAAGTGGTTCACAAAAGCTAAGATTAGCATTCATTTACATATTGTCTGGGTAGGGGTGGGATCCACAGATTTTCAGTTACTTATTAAGAGTTGTAGGAGCCAGGATGGAATTATCTTGGGCTGCTTATTCTGGTTATTACCGGTAAACAAAGGCCAACAACTCTGGCAGTTACTGATAAGAGAAGGTAAGCAGCTTTACCTCTTTGCATTCTGCAAAGTAAACTAGCAGTTTTACAGAAGCCAAGGTGAGCAGTCATTGTGAGGAGAAGGGAGCAGCCTTCACCACTTATTTTAAAAACAGTTTTGTCTTTTAAAAAATGGCATTGTTCAGTTTCTAACTGTAGGCCAGCTATATCACACTAACATATTCAAAATATTTTTAAAATAAATTAGTCTTTACATAAATTATACTAGTACTCAAATTTCAGGTAATTCTTTGTGCTTAATTCATTGATTTAAGGAGTAATCAATCATATTTTCAGAGTCTGGAGAAAATTATGATGATGTTATAAATGTAAGAAATTAAATCACATCCCCCCACCCACTGCCAACCAAAAAAAAAAAGAAATTAAATCACATCTCCACATCCCCACTGGTCTGCCTCTGGTCTGGTTTCTGTGCTGATGCCAGTGATCTTTAAAAATGTGAATCTGCTCATATTACAAAGGGTGTTTAGCTCCTATTTTATTAGTGTCCTATTACTTTTAGGATAAAGGCTAACACTAGACCCAAGACGGCCTTTTTCCTGATCTCTCTTCAACTTCCTCTTTAGCCTGGCTCACTACTGCTCAGCTAGACTGGCTATTTTTCTGATTTTTAAAGGCCTATATTTGTTACTGTCCCAGAACTCTGCTCTGAAATGTTCTTTCTGTGACTCTGGCTTCCTGAACTCCTATGCATCCTTCAGATTTCAGCATAAAGGTGACCCCTCAGGGCAGCTGTTCTGCTCCTTCCTCTTTTCTCTTCCCATCTCAATAACAGCCTTTGGCATCTATAGTGATACAACTGTGGTCTCTTATTTGAAAGCATTTGTCTCCGATTCTAATTAATGAATTAATTACACTGGTATTATAGCTCCCTAGAATAAATGGAGATATAAAATTGTCTCTCCCATTAAACAATGATGGGCAGGGATTGCATCTGTTTTCCATTGTAAATTCCAATGCTTTTGTACTCCTGAAAATTTTGTAAGATATAAATAAGACCATGGAATTCATTCTTCTGCTTAAAATCCTCCAGTATGACTCAATCATAACTGGAACAAAAGCCAGACTGCTTACTAAAGTAGGGCTCCTTAGATGAACACCTTCCTATTGCTTTGCTAACAGCCATTCCTAGTCGTCTTCTTTCTTACGACATTCCTCTCTCTTTTACAAGCATGAGAAATTCATTACAAAGTCAGAGGTATTCTATTTGCCTCTTTCCTCCTGAAGCATTTCTCACTAGATCTTCGTATAAAGCTTTTCTCTCATCTTTTAGATCTTGATGTAAATTATATTTACCTAAAGTAACTCCCTCATGCCCTGCCCTCCCCCACATACATTCTTTCCATCACATACATATGAAATTTTTTTTTGTTTAAATGTCTTTTCTTTCTCCCAGAGGTTGACTGAGCTCTCTGATACCTCCTTAAGAGTTGTCTCCTCATATTCTTCAACACAGCCAATCCCATTATGGATCATTTGTAAATATCCATTTATCATAGAAGGAATAAATTATAAAAGGTATATTTATAATGCGTTGTGATGTTTAATATGTTTCTAAGCCTTATTTTTTAAAGGCAAATGAATTTTGTCATAAATGTTTCATTTAAAAGAATTTATAAATTTCCTATTCTAAGTATTACATTTTGCATAGACTTTAATGTTACAATATTGAGAAGCACAGTCCTTTGAAATTATATTCCACTACTATAAAATTGCTACTCTGTGGACCATACAAATAAGTACATAAAGCTTCATTGTGATCACACATTCACAGAAAATATAAAGTGCACTTACACTTACTAAATTTCTGCCTCTTACAGTTTTTTGCTGTCCTTGTTTCTCAAATTATATTTTCCAAAGACCAAAGAATGTTAAATTGTGAAATTTAAATTTCTAACCTAAATATTATAATGAAATTTTATTTTAATGAGGAAGGCTTAGGAAAGCAATACACTATGGGTTAAAACATAAGACAAAGAGTTAACCCAAGCAGGTATCTGGAATGTCCTAAAAGAAATGACATGCTTTCACCTTCATATCTCAACAGTGGCACTACAGTATTTGGGGCTAGACAATTCTTCATTTTTAGGGAGCTGTTCTGGGCCTTTTAAGATGTGTAGCCGCAGCCCTGGCCTCTACCCACCAGATGCAGTATTATCTTCCTCTCCAGTTGTGACCCCAAAAAAAGTCTGCAGATCTTGTCAAATATCCCTGGAAGAGGGGGGCAAAACTACCCCCAGTTCTATACATATGTAAGTCATTTGCTAGAATTTCAGAATTATCATTTTTTCATAGGATACTTTGGCCCTAGAAATGCTGACTCAAAGCCATTATTTTGGGCCATCTACCTAATGCCTTCTCTCTTTCTCTTGAAGGCTTGCCAGAATCTTTATGTAGGTGACTCTAGATCATGGTTATTTACTTTGATTTTTCTCAGATATTAAAGCATATTTTCCAACTGAGTTTTGAATGGTATGGGTAAGGCTATTTACAGCCTACTAACCCAAAATAGAAGTGGTTGTGCAACCACAGATATTTCATTGAAAATTCTCAGAAAGATAAAAGCATATCTTGAACATCACAGATACAGATATCTATGCTGAAATGTCAACATATAGATAGATAGGTTAACCCCAGAACGCTTGACGATTCCATTTTTGGTGCAGTTATATATCATTTCACTTTTTTGCATTTCAGGACCTCCAGGATATGCTGGCTACCCTGGGCCCCAGATCGGCTACCCACCCCCACCAGCTGGCCATCCAGGTCCTGGGCCAGCTGGCTTTCCTGTCCCAAATCAGCCAGTGTATAATCAGCCAGGTGGAGCTGCAGGGGTACCATGGATGCCAGCACCACCGACTCCATTAAACTGCCCACCTGGATTAGAATATTTAAGTCAGGTAATTTGAAGGACACAACATACTCATAAAAAAACAGAACTGTGCTTCCAGCTTGAGAAACCAGATTAACAAATGAATAATTCATCAAAGTCTGAAATGGCAAAACTACATTTTCTGCTAACAGTTTACTGTAATTCTTTTAGGTCAGGTTCAATTTTAAAGCAAAATACAAATGCCTTAGAAAATAGTATTTTCTGTGATCCTAAATACAATCTGTGATAATAGCCAATAGCAAACATTTAGTTAGTACTCTTTTCTTGTTTTTGTCATATACATTATCCATGTATTAACTCATTTAATCCTTACAGAAAATCTGTGATATATAATGCTACAGTTAGTTCCGTTTTTCAAAAGAGGAAACTAAGGTCCAGAGAATTTATATCTCTCACTCTGGGGTGAGAACCTAAAGAGTTGAGAATGGTTTTTCAATCCAGAAACTTTGGTACTGGGCATGGTGCTCTTTAATCTCAATACTGAATAATTGCCTTATAATTTGAAATAAAATTTAAATAAAGTTTATTGTTGAGTTTCAATAAGTGGCACCAAACAAGGGGTTAATATTTTATGTGCAATATGACACACCTTTTTATTTTAACTAATAAAACTACATTTTTATGATGCTGCTTTTGTTTTTTGAAAGATCCAATTATATAAATGTCATTAATAAAGGAGTAAAAAGTCCTGGATTTTGTTCCACTAAATTCTAATTAGTCTCAGCAATAAGAGGTTTAACATTTATGTGGTGTTAGAAATCAAGTAGGTCAAATAGAAACAAGAAACTCTGTGTGTTCAGTTTATACAAATAAAAACAAATATTCTTGTGATATTCAACCAGTTTTTATTTCATGAATCATTTCTTTCTTGCACTGTGTTTAGTAACTTAATTTCTCACAATGCACTTAAGTGGCACAATCATAGGAATTTTTAGTCATTATTATATCATGCAAGAAATATATAAAAATAGGTATTTTAAAAATCAGGGTCGTAAAATACATAAAGGATGTTATCACATATGACAAAGGTTGATATTAAGTATGATTAATACAAATTTGAAACGTGTAGAAAATTGATGGCTAAAAAAGTTATCAATATTTCTTGAGCCTCTTCCAGAAGAAAGATTGTTATCTACTTTTAAAATTATTTGACACATAGTACTTGTACATATTTATGGAGTACAGTGTGGCACTTTAATGCACATAGACTATATGTAATAATAAAATCAGGGTAATTAGCATATCTATCACTTTCAACATCTTATCATTTTTAGTGTTGAGAACATTCCAAATCCTCTCTTATAGCTATTTGAAAATGTACAATAAATTATTGCTAATTATAGGCAGCCTACATAGCTATAGAACACTCGAATTTATTCCTCCTTTCTAGCCATAATTTTGTATTCATTAATCAACTTCGGGTTATACCCCTCCTCCCTACCCTTCACAGTTTCTAGTAACCACTGTTCTACTCTCTACTTCCATGGGATCAATTTTTTTAAGCTTCCATGTATAAGAACATCCAGTATTTTTTTTTTCTGTACCTGGCTTATTTCACTTAACATAATGTCCCTCAGGCTCACCATGCTGCTACCAATGACAGGATTTCATTCATTTTTATGGCTGACTTTTATTCCATTGTGTGTATTAAGAATGAATTTTTCAGCTGGTCATGCCTGTAATGTCAGCACTTTGGGAGGTCGAGGTGGATGGATCACAAGGTCAGGTATTCGAGACCAGCCTGCCAACACAGTGAAACCCCATCTCTAACAAAATTAGAAAAAAGTGGCAGGCGCCTGTAATCCCAGCTACTCAGGAGGCTGAGGTAGAGAATCACTTGGACCTGGGAGGCAGAGATTGCAGTGAGTCCAGATCGTGCCACTTCACTCCAGCCTGGGTGACACAGTGAGACTCCATATCAAAAAAAAAAAAAAAAAGAATTTTTCTTTATTCATTTATCTATTGATGAACACTTAGGTTGATTCTACATGTTGACTACTAGTGCTGCAATAAGCATGACAGTGCAGATACCTCTTTGACATATTGATTTCCTTTCCTTTGAAATTTTTGTTTTGAAAATTTTGAAAAATTTGAAAAAAATATTGTTTTGGAAAAATGGTAGTAGGATTGCTGAATATTCAATTTGGTAGTTGTAATTTTAGTTTTTGAGGAAGCACTACATAATGGCTGTCCTAATTTACTTTCTCACCAAATCTTCCCTGCTCCACATTTTCACTATTATTTGTTAGTTTTTGTCTTTTTGATAATAGCCATTCTTAATCGGGCAACAATAATATCTCATTGTGGTTTGGATTTGCATTTCCCTGGTGATTAGTGATGTTAAGCATTTTTTCATAAAAGTACCGAGCGTTTGTATCAATTTTCTAGTTTTTAAAGTTACTCCAGTGTAAATCAATTTTATTTGATCTAAATTTCCACACGTTAATTGTAAACACAATATTTTATTAATTAAAAATATTAACTTGTTTTACACTAAAAAGTAATATAAGCTATTAAATGTTGATAATTGATTCCCTGTACTTTAAATATATAAATACATGAATTTTAATTTGGTTGGCTTAAAAAAACCTTCATTTAACATATACTTACCACTTTTTTTTTCCTATAATAGATAGATCAGATACTGATTCATCAACAAATTGAACTTCTGGAAGGTAGGTGTTCATTGTATTAATCTTATTTCTAAAAGGAATAAAAGTTTATGCAGATAAAGAAACATCAAATTTCACAAATATAACACTCTCACTTATATGGGACAGTTAAACTGGTTATCTACTATAACAAAATAATAAACATCAGCAATTCATTTCTAAAATTTAGGAATCAAAAAGTAAAATGCCATTATGCTGGGCACTTTCCTCGGGATATTGACACTAACTTAAAAGGAAATTAGTCAAAACCTTTATTTTGCTTCTCTCTTCATACATCACGTTTTATCTGGCTTCTACTACTTAAACTGTTTTCTCTGTAATTGTGATCAACTTCAGAATGGCACGGAGTCATATTCAAAAGTAAGTTATCTTTTGTGTTTGGATGAGAAAATATTGGAAAATTATCATTTGTTCCCACAGTTTCTCTTAGGAGTTAAGATGAACCCAAGAAAACCTTTGTATACCAGGTTGGATGCAGGGCACTGTGGCATTGGAGAATGCTGACCAACTAGCCTGCAGGCTTGGCTTCATAGAAGAGCACTCCTGCTGAATGGCCTTACATTTCCGTGGGTCCAGGACTCCTTAGGTGCAAGAATAAACTTAGGAAGACAATTACTGTTTTACAATAGCTGCCAGGGGAAGAAGACCCTGGGTAGATTTATGAACCATAGTGTTTTCTTTCTAGATATAAAAGGTTTAATAAAAACTCTACCAGTTTTTAGGAATATGTCTGTTAAATTCATTTTCACCTGTCTCCAGGCTTCTTTCCACTGGTAAAAATTAGAAATTGTACAAGCAGAATAATGGATTTGGCTAAAATATACAATTGTCATCTATTAATTTATTTATAATGCACATTATTAGACAATTAAAATTTATCTGATTTTTAAAAATCTAAACAAAGCTCTCTCTGGAAGAGAGCTTTGTATTCTGAATTTTTTAATGTTTTATGGTATATATTATTAAGGCTATAAAATCCAAACAGATGTATAACCAAACATCACACAACCCAGTATCTATCTTTTTTTTTTTGTAGATTTATAGGCTTTATAAATATTTGTTAACTATGTGTTAATTATGAAATATAAAGTTCCAAATCTACTAGTTTCTAATTTTGCTTTTTTCAAAAAAGAAATGTCTCTAGCTTTTTGTTTCTTTTTTTCCAGAATTGAAAGTCTATGTTATTTTTTCATATTATGAGTGACATAAAAAAGATGAAAATTACTCAGATGTTTAGGATCTGAGCATGAAATAGGCATTTACATTTTTTCTCAATTCAAAACACAGAAGATAATGAAGACATAATCAGAATTGGTTAATCTGTTTACATTTTTAAGTAAATGAAAACAATTTTTAAATTTATATAAGCCAATGTTGTTTTACAAGTAAGCTGGAGATTTTTGAGATTGAGCTACTTAATGAAATGATTAATTAGATAATAAATGCCCTCTCAAAATCAGTTTAATTTTTTTCTCACCAAACATTTGACTATTTCAGATGTTGAAATCAGGGGTGGTTCTTACAAGTGCAGATTACAGGGTCTGTCTGTGTCCCATCAAGGACACCTAAAGGAGTTCATGGCGATAAGACTTGTGAAGACCATCTTTATCCCACTAAAAGTCTTTCCACTTAGGCATTATAGAGCAACTTTGCGTCCATATATTTCTTTTAATCACTCATCATTTTATTTAGGCTTCTGACATCCATGACCCCAGTTACTGAGGGCTATGTACAAATGGGACAGTTATTGCTGCTTTCTGACTTTCAATAGGGAGAGGTTTCCAATGTATGGTTTAATATAGAAAGCCCTTGATAAAAAAGCATGTGGGTGTCAGCCTTTTGAGTCAACTGTTTCCCTTATGAAAAGATTAGCCCATCTAAGTCCTGAGTTCACGTAGGATGCCCATGGTCTAGATATTCTGTGAGTGGAAGTCTTGGTTGCCAAACACCCTTTGTCTAATACCCACCTCCCACTTCTGGACAACTGCTGCTAAGCTGAATAAAAATGCCCTGGGTCCAGTGTGACATTCTAATTCACTTTCCATTTTCACTCCATCAGTTTTTATGCATGTGTGTTGCCTTCTTTCAAAAACATTGCAAAAAAAAATAAGACATAAGTATGGTTTACAAGATGGTCTCAAGCCAATTGACTTACTATAAAATTTCACAGTGCATAAACAGCAATCCTCTCATATTCCCCTCCACATTACACAAAAACTACCCTGCATTAGTGGACATTTTATCTATACACCAAGCACCACTGTGACTACCCACAGCATTTTCCCAACCCTCAACAGCAAAGTCTCTCTTCGGTTGTAGAATTAGGAAGATATAACTTGTTTTCAGTGTCTCACATAAGGTCCTAATTTCTCTATATATTAATAATCTCTCCTCCTTTTGCCATTTTTCTCTGCCTGGATCACCTCTAAACATCATTTCTTCTTCTCCTTATGCCACTTGGAATATCATCTAAAACTGGTATAGCTAGATGTTATAACACCTTAGGATAAATTCAATATCTTTAACATAGAGGTGATTATGACTTTGTCTTTTATGTTTTTAGTTTTAACAGGTTTTGAAACTAATAACAAATATGAAATTAAGAACAGCTTTGGACAGAGGGTTTACTTTGCAGTGGAAGATACTGATTGCTGTACCCGAAATTGCTGTGGGCCATCTAGGCCTTTTACCTTGAGGATTATTGATAATATGGGTCAAGAAGTCATGACTCTGGAGAGACCACTAAGATGTAGCAGCTGTTGTTGTCCCTGCTGCCTTCAGGAGGTCTGTGAGCAATTACCAGGGCACTCTGTAAAATAATTCAGCAAGAATTTCTATCGTTTCATTGAACCTAGGCATTATGATTATTATTACATTTACGCATATTATTTTGCCTTTGTAGATAGAAATCCAAGCTCCTCCTGGTGTACCAGTCGGTTATGTTATTCAGACCTGGCACCCATGTCTACCAAAGTTTACAATTCAAAATGAGAAAAGAGAGGATGTACTAAAAATAAGTGGTCCATGTGTTGTGTGCAGCTGCTGTGGAGATGTTGATTTTGAGGTAACAGACATCATAATGTTTATAGGATTTGTTTTCCTAATATGAGAATAAGGTAATTTTGCAGTATGTTATAAATGCATTAAATAAGTATTGTGTGCCAGTGTCTCAATAGCAAGAATGTAATTTTGCAGGAATGTTATAAATGCATTAAATAAGTATTGTGTGCCAATGTCTCAATAGCAAGGAAATGTTCTAATATATTTAACTTTGGTTTGCACTCTAATTAAAGGTCAGTGTTCGTCATGATAAACGGAAAAAGAAGCAGACCTGTGTAGTCAAATAAAAATAAGCAAATCATCTATCAGTTAAACATGGTGGTTTCTGTGTGATGACATTGTATATTATCCATTTTAAACAAAACGTTAACCTTGTCATCTAAGTCTGATGGATACCTTAAAGCATCCATTCCATATAATAAATTAACTTTTTTTCTGTTTATCTAGAATGATGATACCAAGGTACTCTTATGGATAGAATTGAGAAATGTCACTTGAAGAATTTTCCATAGGGTTGACAGTGGAAATTCTGACACCTCAAAGCAGAAATTATTAGTATGAGGGATCACTAAGGAGCATGAAATCCACCAGGGCACCACTAGGCATAGAAACTTGAATTAATAAGAGAGAAAAGCCTTTCTGCAGCCAGGGCAGGAGTCATTCTAAAAAAAGTCCTCTTTTTTTAGAATGAGACATTTCATAAGTGTACTATATGGAACTAATTCATGAATCTGATGTCAACTGAGGATGAAAAAATTTTGGAGATGAATTTGATGTGTTATTATTCTGATATTACCATTGGCCAAGTTAAGAATCTTGAAGGAAAAACACTTGATTTATGTCCTCTTGACCATTATGACAGTCTGCTTTTTAAAAAGTAAGGTATCCTTTGAACATTTACTAAAGAAATTGTAAATATGATGATATAGTCTGGCTGTGTCCCCACCCAAATCTCATCTTGTAGTTCCCTTCCATGACCTGTTAGGAGGTAGTTTAATCATGGAGGTGGTTACTATTATGCTCTTCTTGTGAGAGTGAGTGAGTTCTCACTAGATCTGATGGTTTTATAAAGGGCTTTTCCCTCTTTTGCTTGGCACTTCTTCTTGCCTGCTGCCATGTAAGACATGTCTTGCTTCCCCTTCGCCATCTGCCATGACTGTGAGGCCTCCCAGACACGTGGAACTTTGAGTCAATTAAACCTCTTTCCTTTAAAAATTACCCAGTCACAAGTGTGTCTTTATTGGCACAGTGAGTACAGACTAATATATATGACATATGAGTATTTAAAAACGTGCACAGTGTTACTCGTCATTAGAAAAATGCAAGTTCAAACTACAATGTAATGCCATTACAAAGTTGTCAGAATGGCAAAACAAAACAAAAATTTTTTTTTTAAAAAGTAAGGTATCAAATATTAATATACATCTAGGTCAGGGGTCAGTAAAATATAATCAGTGGGCTCTAGTGGATCATATAAAATATATATGGGAAGTTAATGACTTACATTAAAATTATATCGGATTTTAGTTATGTAGAGGAAAGGAATGGAGAGTTTGCAGCAAACAGATAGTAATTCTCTAAGGTTATCTCAATGGTGAGTAAGAGAGAGCCTAGCAGACCTTCTATCCAATATGAATGATAAAAGAGTCTGTCTCCTTCAAGGCAAATTCTTGGTAGGGGAAAAAAATATGGCCACATGAAAGTAACATGCCAAGCCTGTCCTCTCTATGAGCTCGAAATCTGAAATCCTACCACTGTTGTGTTTCGGAATCTCAAAATATAGAAACTGATCCTGAGTGGTGATATATATTTTATGTGGTCCCACAGATTGTTTTATGCTGCCCTCTCAACTAGATTTTCACTAGTATTCCATAAGTAAGTTTCTAAAAAGCAGACTATCATAATGGTCAAGAGTACAGACTCTGGAGCCAGATGCCCAGGTTTGAAGCCCATCTTCACAATAGTTATCTTTGTGACCTGAAACAAATTATTTCACTTACCTTTGCTTTAGCTTTTTTTACATGAAAATTGGGTGCAGCAACAGTAAATAAATAAATAATTAGTAAGTAAATAAAATAGCTTACCAACAACGATTAATATTATCATAGTACATTTTTTATATTATATTCCTTTGATACATACCTAGGTCCTATATGTTATTGTTATATTTAAGTCTTTTGCATTTATACTTGCATGTGAGATGAATCTATGGTTTTCTTTTTAGAATGCTTTTACCAATTAATATTACATTAATGGATTTAAAAGTTTAACATTTATATAATACCAATTTCTTATATCCAAATGTTGAAATTTTATTATAGTGATTTTCTATCTTAAAATGTCTACAATTTAGCTAAAAATTATCTAGTCCTGATGGTTTATTGGTTGAAGATCATTATTTGCATTTCTGATCCTTGCTATAAAAATATATTCTCTACTTCTTTAAATTTCTTGCTGTAATAATAAAAAAGGGCAAATGTTAATATCTTTATCTGTGCAGTGTTGGATTTATGGTGGCTGGTAAGTTGTCAGCTGCATTTTTCATTTTTAAAAAATTTAAGAATTAAAAAATAACACATAAGAGTTGTCATCACTAGCTCCAAATGCTTTGATGACAGCTATTAGCAGAAAAATACTAACATGTAAAAGAAAGAATTTATATTAGTTAATTTTGCCAAAGTAGTGAAATACTACTACTAATGAAATATTACACATAATCCCTAAAACTCAGCAGCTTGCAACAAGCATTTATGCTCATGCTTATGGGTGTATAGGTCAACTGTGTTTCAGTGGATGTATTTAAGGTCCCACTTAGGCTGCATGTTAACCTCAGTTTGCTCCAGCTATGTTTGTTCTACAGCTGTAGCAGTAGCAGCTACCTGAGTCATGCTTTTCTAGTGGCTTATCACTGGAGATCATAAGCCAGGCCAAATCACTTAGTCAAGTTTAAGGACATTACTCATGTCATATCTGCTAACACCCATTGATCAAACAAATAACATGGCCAAGGCTAATTATGAAGGAACAGGAAGTATACTGGGCCTACAGAAGGAGAAGGAATTAAATGAATATTTGATGAACAGTAATCTGTACTATCCGTTTCACATTAGATGTTTATTTCAGGTATTTAACAAACTATCCATTTGTACTCAAAGAAAATGAGTCAAGTGTTTTTAGATTCCCCACATTTATTTAGCTGGTCACATTCAGCCTGAGGCAAGTGCTTCAAAGAGTGTTGCTGACACTTGTAGTGCCTTGTGCACATTTTAAAAGGACACTCCTCCTCTGTTAACATAACTATATGTGTACATAGTTTAGTGAATTTCAGCTACGTTCAGTGTTCACCTGCCCTCATAGAGGAGTTGCTTTAGTATGAGCACAGTCCATTCAACTCTATATGATGGTCCTGGGCTTTTGTCAGGCAGAATTGGAAAATTGGAAAATTTCTATTTTGGAGCTCATTTGTTCATATACTCTTCGTCTTTTATTGCTCACACCCTGCTATTTATCCACTCTTACCTCAACCCTTGACATGGTGCATTTCATCAAGTTACTTATTAGGTATTTGCCTTTACTCAAAACTGCTAATCTTTTCTAGGCTTTTAGCATTTCATGTTTGGCAACTCACAGTGGGTGGTAATAAGCCTTTTCATCATATTTAATCTTTCAGTCTGTGTAAACTATGCTTCTCCTAAAGCAGAAATCTAATGGGAGTTTTGCTCATTACCTTCCTGATGGCTTCCAGAATTGTCATCAAAGAAACATTTCATATTTATATCCTTTTTTGCTCAAATTTTCTTCTGGGTCAATTCAAATAATTTTTTAATGTCTGTATTAATAGAAAATGTTAAATATTTCAGAAAAACTACTTTCATATAATTTTTCTGTACAATGAAATCTTTTCTTTTTCATATGTCTATAATAGATAAAGGAGCCTCTAAGTATCTAATGAGGGTTACATGTTCATTGTTACATATGGGCCATAATTTTAATGCCGTATTTGTTTCATCTTCAAATTTGAAAGTACTTTTGCTATAAGTTTTCTAAAAATATTTAATAATTCTTTTCAATTTAGATTAAATCTCTTGATGAACAAAATATAGTTGGCAAAATTTCCAAGCACTGGACTGGAATTTTGAGAGAGGCATTTACAGATGCTGATAACTTTGGGATCCAATTCCCTTTAGACCTTGATGTTAAAATGAAAGCTGTAATGCTTGGTGCCTGTTTCCTCATTGTAAGTCTGTTCTTACTAATCTTGATTACAGATGGTTTCTCTAGGTTTATTCTGAAGTGATTCAGTAAAGTATATATTTCAAAATGATATTTTAAAATCTGTAGATTTTAAACCAGGATTCCCATTTAATCCTAGCTCTGAAATTCTATTTGATCCTAACCCTCTGGAGTCACAGGTGACTAGTTTCTATCTGAAGAGACTATGGATTTTCACATGGCAAGTGAGGGACTAAGGAGATGTACTAAGGAGATATTTTAGTCTCTCCTTAAATCAAGCATCTCCTAGATGCTTTGAGGAAGAGTTGAAAGTGGGTGTGTGTGGAAAAAATTTAGTGAAACAAGAAAACTTTACCATGACTCATAATAATTAAACTAAACTATCTAATATAGGAGTATGAACTACAGTAAGAGTATACATTCACTCAAGTGTGTAGACTTAACTGCCAAATTACAGGAAATGATTGTTTATACCAGTGCTTCTGAAATTGTCTTCACATTAGAATCACCTAGGGACCTTTAAAAACTCCAAGTACTAGTCCATACCTCAGTTCAACTAAATCAGAAACTTCAAAGTTTGTATAGTGTTCCAGGTGATTTTAATATGCAGCCAAAGATGAGAATTAGGGGGATGGAGAACACTTAGAGAAAAAGACCAGAAGATTAATTAAATTCTTACAAGTATCAATAAATAAATAGAATTATAGAATTCTATTATTATTAAAATGGAAAGCTAAAGGTGGAACTTATATAATTATAGAGCTCTTCTCTTCTATTTACTTATTACAGTTAATTTTTTAACAGATATGTTACTGTGTTTCACTAGATCCCTTAGCATTTCTGCATCTGATAATTGATCTCTGTTTTGTTGCTGAAAATTCATTTGTGTATTTTTGTTTTTGTCTAGGACTTCATGTTTTTTGAAAGCAGTGGCAACCAGGAACAAAGATCAGGAGTGTGGTAGTGGATTAGTGAAAGTCTCCTTAGAAGATCTGAAGTCTGTATATTGATCAGGACTATCTAAACTCATACCTATATAAATTAAGCTGTAATGCTGGTAGCTCTGGTTGTATACTTTTGCTTTGCAAGTTATTGAGTTTATCTTCTGTATAACTGATTTATAAAGGCTTTTATGCATTTTTTAATACTCACTGTGAATTTGAGAAAAAGGACATAGGAGTTTTTACAATTGTTAATGAAACTTTCTATGAAAAACCGCTTTGAATCATGATCTCTGATTGTTTTACTACCAAATATTAATTAATGCCTTATTAGTTTTAATATAAATTATATTTCATTCTATTACATCTAGTTACAATTTATTTCATGCCTAACCAATAATGTTATTTTACAAATGCCATATATTCAAAAAATTTCAGATAATTTATTATTATATTCAAATAATATTCATTACGCATATTATCTTTAAAAAGATGTATTTATTTTTTTAATCTTCAGGAAATCATGCTACACTTAACTTCTCCTGGAAGCTAATCTGTACCATAAATAATACGCTATTCATATTCACAAGATATTACCAATTTTTAAATTATTGTTATTAAAGAACAACATGATTCTCTCCCAAAGAATGACAGGTTTTAAACACTCCTTCACTGTAAAACTCTAGTATTATTATAACTTTTGAAAGTTAATATTTAAACATGGAATGTTTAGCTCTTATACTCTATTCTTCCTAAAAAATGGTAATTGAAATTATTCAGATGTTAATTAAATATAACATATATGTATTCACAGAGTATAAACCTAAATAATGACCTATTAGATTATACCAATAATCAAATATTTGAAAAAAAACTTGGTTTTTTTGAATATTTGATTTTTGTTTTTAATCAAAATGTGCTCAGATGGTATTTTGAATACTCATTCAGTTAAATGATGCTACATATTTGAAGCAGGATATTTCCCTGAGCCCTTCACGGGACTCAAGACAGAGGTGCCTTGTTTACTCAGCCTACCACTCTCTACTCCTCATGGGAGGGAGTGCACAAGCACTGGAACAGACTGGCCACTTCTGCACTGATGGGTGCAAACTCAGCGCAGGCCCTGCGGTAGCATCCTGGTGGGGATGCCTGTAACTCCTGAAGCCCCAGAAGACATGTTACAGTGCTCTTTTAGCTCTGGTGTCTGGGGATAGCATAAGTGTTTAGAGCTCAGTGGGTTAAGGGCAAGTGTGGGAGCCTTTTGTATCTGTACTTATGGTTCCAAGCTTTTGTCCAGCATCCAGGAAAAATGTGGTCACACAAATTAATTGAAGGATGGTAAATGTGGGGAATTTTATTGCTGATAAAGTGGCTCTCAGTGGGAAAAGAAGCTAAAAAGGGGACAGAGGAGTAGGTAATCTTCCCCTGAAGTCTGGCCATATCTGGCTGTACTCTTCTCTGAAGTTACACTGTCAAGCTGTCCCTCTGAAGTCAAGCAGCTTCTCTCTGATGTCCAACCATAGTCTCCACTCCTTTCTGACTGAGTCTGGGGTCTTTATAGGTACAGGACTGGGGGCAGAGCAGGCCGTGGTTAGTTTAGGAAAAGCAACATTCAAGCAGGAAAACAAGGATATAAATTCTCACTTTGGGTCAGGGTTTCAGGCTTTTCAGCTTGAGGATAGGGTTTTCAGTGGGGACTTACCCTTTTCTGCCTAGAATTTCTCTGCCTCCTGTCCCCATCATATTTAACTGCCTTTTCCTTTCAAATCTCTTTTAAAACTGAGCAAAGATACATGACACTTTGTAGTAAAATCTTTACCAGTGTTGGCAACTAAAATTTTCACCTGTCAGAAACATGAGAATTTAGTACTTTCTTTTGTAATGAAGGGTGAACTGAAAGATGACATGAACAACCCACAATATTCCTCATGCAGCAGAAAAATGTGCTTAAGAAATCCGGGCATGTGGGAGAGTCTCTCTTTCATATTAAGCACAATTTTTGTAACAGCAGCTCTCCTCATGGTGTTAGTGCCCTACCTCAAAAGTTCCAAATGGCAAGCAGTGAGAACATTAATATGCAGGAGATCTTCAGGAAAAGCCAACTCTACATAATCTCCCACAAGCCTAAACAATTCACCAGATGCCAAATTCCAATGATGAAGTGTACCCATGGCACTCACTTCTAGCATGTGCTTGGTACAGATAGCATGCCAAGAAAAGTGGAGATACTTGTATAGCTGAATCCCAATGGCCTTGTTATGCCAGTTACAGAAGGGGGTGGGGGTGGAATTGCTAAACTGGTCACCATGTGCCAAAACTAACCCAAAATAAGACTTAGAGTACTGACATCATCCCTGCGATAGCTACATCTTACTTTCATTATTTGTCTCTCTCTGAACAGGATTCTAGATCTTTGACTAAGCAAAATGAAACTAAACTGATCCAAACATTTCTTTCTGTCATCAAATCTGCAAAGAAGATATGAGCAAAACCCCACATATTTTCTGAAGAACCTATTTAAGTTAAATACTAGACAGATATTTTCACCTTAAATAATTGCATAGAGAAAAATAATTACACATGAAAAATTAGATATTTAATTAAGAAAATACCAGGAATTGTTTTTAAAAGTTCAATATGTAATTGCAATGAGATTTGAGGAAATATTGCCTATTTTTTTTATTTCTATTTTGTGAGTTATAACAGTGAATGGAAAGTCACGGTGTGTCCCTGACTAGAGATAATGTTGAGGAGGAAAAGATGCAATGGCTGGTGGATGGGGCTGAATTTTTGGTCTTGGGAAGGAGGTTCTGGGTAGGTGGTCAGTGAGGAAAGGGAAGAATAGAGAGGAGGAGGAAGGCTACATTAAGGGATGTCAGTACCTCCTCTCCTAAGTACCTTTTGGGGGAGGGTTGGGGAGTGAGGGGGAGCGTAAGTGAAAGAAGAGGCAAGGCTGGAAGTGGGGGGTGGGTAAAGTACCAGCCAGAGGGGATTAAATTGCCCGAAAGTCAGTGTCTGGGCTCCCGCCATCATGTTGGCTAGCTACTCTCTGCATAAGTACTAAAGCTGTTTTTTTTTTTTTTTTAAAAAATAATAGGCCGGGCGCGGTGGCTCACGCCTGTAATCCCAACACTTTGGGAGGCCGAGGCGGGTGGATCACGAGGTCAAGAGATCGAGACCATCATGGTCAACATGGTGAAACCCCGTATCTACTAAAAATACAAAAAATTAGCCGAGCATAGTGGCGCGTGCCTGTAATCCCAGCTACCCGGGTGGCTGAGGCAAGAGAATTGCCTGAACCCAGGAGGCGGAGGTTGCGGTGAGCCGAGATCGCGCCATTGCACTCCAGCCTGGGTAACAAGAGCGAAACTCCGTCTCAAAAAAAAAAAAATAAAATAAAATAAAAATAAAAAATAATAATGTATTTTTTTTTCTAAATTATACTTTTAAGTTTTGGGGTACATGTGCAGAACGTGCAGGTTTGTTACATATGTATACAATGCCTTGGTGGTTTGCTGTATTCATCCCCCGTCATTATTTACATTAAGTATTTCTCCTAATGTTATCCCTCCCAAAGCCGCAACCTTCTGCTATCCCTCCCCCTTCCCACAGGCCCCAGTGTGTGATGTTCCCTTGGAAACCATCATTCTCAGCAAACTGACACAAAAACAGAAAACCAAACACCGCATGTTCTCATAAGTACTAAAGCTTTAATTGCATTTGGACTCAAAAAGAAATACTGTAACTTTAGGGTAACTAGAAAAAACTTAGTCAAGAATTCCTGCCATCACTTAAGAATGGAATGATTCAAAATGTCTCTGGGCATAGTGAAGTGCTCCTAGCACTTGAAGTCCCAGAAAAGTGTACAGGGTTTCCCTCCATGTCCTGCCTCGCTCCTTTCCAGTCCCTAACCCAACATACCCTGGCTGCCTGAGTTCCTGCACCTGGTTTTGTCTCCTTCAAGCTCTGTCTTCCTCCTTGTGCCTTAATATCCCTCAATTGTCAATAGTATCATTGTCAATTGATTATGTTATCTACCTCATAAGGTCACTGTGAAGATTCAGTGCTCCAGTGCAGGTTCAGTGACCTGAGCAGGTAGAACCAGCCTAAAAAATGAAAAGGGCAGCCTAAAAAATGATAAAGGCTCATGCCTTAATCCCAGCACTTTGGGAGGCAGAGGTGGGTGGATCACCAGAAGTCAGGAGTTCAAGACCAGCCTGACTATCATGGAGAAACCCCCATCTCCACTAAAAATACAAAAAAATTAGCCAGGCGTGGTGGTGCATGCCTGTAATCCCAGCTACTCCGGAGGCTGACGCAGGAGAATCGCTTGAATCCAGGAGTCAGATGTTGCTGTGAGCCGAGATCACACCATTGCACTCCAACCTGGGCAACGAGCAAAACTCCAACTCAAAAAAAAAAAAAAAGAAAAGAAAAGAAAAAAGAAAGGAGCTATGTGTTTATGTGTTGGTAAAGATCAATGGTTTTCAAAACACAGGGAAGTGCCTCAAAACCAATGAGGAAGATTTGGGCTAAAGTAAATTTCTCTTTTGTGACTTGATTTGCAAATAAAATTCATTTAAACCCTAGGAATAATCCTCAAAAAAAGAAAAAAGATGTCTATGCAGGATGCCAAGCTAGGGAAATGTGCTCATCTCACAGAAGTATAGATTAAGGGAATATTAAGGCACAGTGAGGAACAAGGTCCCTGGCTTCTGCAGTGGTGTCTTTTTTTTCTTAGCCTCATATTGTCTAAATGTGGCAAGCCATTTTAAGAGAGGAACAATAGTCAAGCACAGTGGCTCAAACCTGTAATCCCAGCACTATGGGAGGCTGAGACAGGTAGATCGATCACCTGAGATCAGGAGTTCAAGGCCAGCCTGGGCAACATGGGGAAACCCCAACTCTATTAAAAATACAAAAATTAGCTGGGCATGGTGACAGACACCTGTTATCCCAGCTACTCTTGAGGCTGAGGCAGGAGAATTGCTTGAACCTGGGTGGCAGAGGTTGCCATGAGCCGAGATGTTACCATTGCACTCCAGCCTGGGCAACAAGAGTGAAACTGTGTCTCAAGGAAGAAGAAAAAAAAGAGAGAGAGAAACAATAATCTGGGCCCCTGAAACCAGATGCAACATAACCGACAATACAGAGTTTGAACTCAGGATTTATAAACTGGGAGGGCCATAGAATGATAAGCAACAAGTGCAGCTGGTCACAGAGCTCTTCATTTAACAACCCGCCCCCCGCCCCCCGCCCTCCAACACAAACACCAAGCATTCAAGTTAAACGTTAATCTACTGTTAATATTTATATGGTAGAAAACATTAGATTTGTGCCAAAAGGCACACTGTAAATTTACCCACATTAAATTCTGACTA